AGATATATGTGTTGGTACCTAGATATATGTGTTGGTACCTAGATATATGTGTTTGTACCTAGATATAGGTGCTGGTACCTGGATTTATGTGTTGGTACCTGTATATATGTGTTGGTATCTAGATATATTTGTTTGTACATGAATATATGTGTTGGTACCTAGATATATGTGTCGGTACCTAGATATATGTGTTGGTACCTAGATATATGTGTTGGTACCTAGATATATGTGTCGGTACCTAAATATATGTGTTGGTACCTTGATATATGTGTTGGTACCTAGATATATATGTGTTGGTACCTAGATATATATGTTGGTACCTAGATATATATGTGTTGGTACCTAGATATATGTGTTGGTACCTAGATATATGTGTCCTTACCTAGATATATGTGTTGGTACCTAGATATATGTGTTGGTACCTAGATATATATGTGTTGGTACCTAGATATATGTGTTGATACCTAGATATATGTGTTGGTACCTAGATATAGGTGTTGGTACCTAGATATAGGTGTTGGTACCTTGATATATATGTGTTGGTACCTAGATATATGTGTTGGTACCTGGATATGTGTTGGTACCTAGATATATGTGTTGGTACCTATATATATGTGTGGTACCTAGATATATAGGTTGGTACCTGGATATATGTGTTGGAACCTGGATATATATGTTGGTACCTGGATATATGTGTTTGGTACCTGGATATATGTGCTGCTACCTAGATATATGTGTTGATACCTAGATATATATATGTTGGTACATAGATATATATATGTTGGTACCTGGATATATATATGTTGGTACCTAGATGTGTTGATACCTAGATATATATATGTTGGTACATAGATATATATATGTTGGTACCTAGATATGTGTTGGTAACTAGATATAGGTGTTAGTACCTAGATATATGTGTTGGTACCTAGATATATATATGTTGGTACCTAGATATATATATGTTGGTACCTAGATATATATATGTTGGTACCTAGATATATATATGTTTGGTACCTAAATATATGTGTTGATACCTGGATATATGTGTTGGTACCTAGATATATATGTTGGTACCTAGATATATATATGTTGGTACCTAGATATAGGTGTTGGTACCTAGATATATATGTTGGTACCTGGATATGTGTTGGTACCTAGATATATGTGTTGGTACCTAGATATATATGTTGGTACCTAGATATATATGTGTTGGTACCTAGATATATGTGTTGTTACCTAGATATATATGTTGGTACCAAGATAAATGTGTTGGTACCTAGATATATGTGTTGGTACCTAGATATATGTGTTGGTACCTAGATATATGTGTTGGTACCTAGATATAGGTGTTCGTACCTAGATATATATGTCGGTACATGAATATATGTGTCGGTACCTGGATATATGTGTTGGTACCTGGATATGTGTTGGTACCTAGATATATGTGTTGGTACCTAGATATATGTGTTGGTTCCTAGATATTTATGTGTTGGTACCTAGATATATGTGTTGGTACCTAGATATATGTGCTGGTACCTAGATATATATGTTGGTACCTAATATATGTGTCGGTACCTGGATATATGTGTCGGTACCTGGATATATGTGTCGGTACCTGGATATATGTGTCGGTACCTGGATATATGTGTCGGTACCTGGATATATGTGTTGGTACTTAGATATATGTGTTGGTACCAAGATATATGTTTGGTACCTAGGTATATGTGTTGGTACCTAGATATATGTGTCGGATATTTATGTGTTGGTACCAAGATAAATGTGTTGGTACCTAGATATATGTGTTGGTTCCTAGATATTTATGTGTTGGTACCTAGATATATGTGTTGGGACCTAGATATATGTGTTGGTACCTAGATAAATATGTTGGTTCCTAGATATTTATGTGTTGGTACCTAGATATATGTGTTGATACCTAGATATATATGTCGGTACCTGGATATATATGTTGGTACCTAGATATATATGTTGGTACCTGAATATATGTGTTTGGTACCTGGATATATGTGTTGGTACCTAGATATATTATGTCGGTACATGAATATATGTGTCGGTACCGGGATATATGTGTTGGTACCTGGATATATGTGTTGGTTCCTAGATATATGTGTTGGTACCTAGATATAGGTGTTGGTACCTTGATATATATGTGTTGGTACCTAGATAATGTGTTGGTACCTAGATATATGTGTTGGGACCTAGATATATGTGTTGGTACCTAGATATATGTGTGGTACCTAGATATATATGTTGGTACCTGAATATATGTGTTTGGTACCTGGATATATGTGTTGGTACCTAGATATATATATGTTGGTACCTAGATATATATATGTTGGTACCTAGATATATATATGTCGGTACCTAGATATATGTGTTGGTACCTGGATATGTGTTGGTAGCTAGATATATGTGTTGGTACCTAGATATATATGTGTTGGTACCTAGATATATGTGCTGGTACCTAGATATATATGTTGGTACCTAATATATGTGTCGGTACCTGGATATATGTGTTGGTACTTAGATATATGTGTTGGTACCAAGATATATGTTTGGTACCTAGATATATGTGTTGGTACCTTGATATATATGTGTTGGTACCTAGATATAGGTGTTAGTACCTAGATATATGTGTTGGTACCTAGATATATGTTTTGGTACCTAGATATATATGTTGGTACCTGAATATATGTGTTTGGTACCTGGATATATGTGTTGGTACCTTGATATATATGTGTTGGTACCTAGATAATGTGTTGGTACCTAGATATATGTGTTGGGACCTAGATATATGTGTTGGTACCTAGATAAAGGTGTCGGTACCTAGATATATGTGTTGGTACCTGGATATGTGTTGGTACCTATATATATATATGTTGGGACCTAGATATATATATGTTGGTACCTAGATATATATATGTTGGTACCTAGATATATATATGTTGGTACCTAGATATATGTGTTACCTAGATATATATGTTGGTACCTGGATATGTGTTGGTACCTAGATATATGTGTTGATACCTAGATATATGTGTTGGTACCTAGATAAATATGTTGGTTCCTAGATATTTATGTGTTGGTCCCTAGATATATGTGTTGGTACCTAGATATAGGTGTTAGTACCTAGATATATGTGTTGGTACCTAGATATATTTGTTGGTACCTAGATATAGGTGTTGGTACTTAGATATATGTGTCGGTACCTGGATATATGTGTCGGTACCTGGATATATGTGTTGGTACCTGGATATGTGTTGGTACCTATATATATATATGTTGGGACCTAGATATATATATGTTGGTACCTAGATATATGTTTTGGTACCTAGATATATGTGTTGGTACCTTGATATATATGTGTTGGTACCTAAATATATGTGTTGGTACCTAGATATATGTTTTGGTACCTAGATATATGTGTTGGTACCTAGATATATGTGTTGGTACCTAGATATATATGTCGGTACATGAATATATGTGTCGGTACCTGGATATATGTGTTGGTACCTGGATATATGTGTTGGTACCTAGATATATGTGTTTGTACCTAGATATATATGTTGGTACCTAGATATATGTGTTGGTACCTAGTTATATGTGTCGGTACCTAGATATATGTGTCGGTACCTAGATATATGTGTCGGTACCTAGATATATGTGTCGGTACCTAGATATATGTGTTTGTACCTAGATATATATGTGTTGGTACCTAGATATATGTGTTGGTACCTAGATATATGTGTCGGTACCTAGATATATGTGTTGTTACCTAGATATATATGTGTTGGTACCTAGATATATGTGTTGGTACCTGGATTTATGTGTTGGTACCAAGATTTATGTGTTGGTACCTTGATATATGTGACATCCGGTGATAGTTGCCCATGAGGTACCACAGGAACACCAGTAAGCCTGCCAGGATAACTAGTGCCTGATACTGATAGCCTGATAAATAGACACCACCAGTTAAAGCCCCATACATGAGTCCAGGTATCAGCAGCTGTGAGTACCACAAACCCACTGGGCCCTTGGGGACCAAGGATTGGTCCTGCTTGGCATAGTATTCCAATACAGGGACCAGCTCTTTATGGCTGCAAATAGATATAAAACTGTTAGTACAATTAATATACAAACATGACTGTATTACAATTAAAATTTAGATGAGACAACCTTCCATCAAGATGTAATGTACCAGGAAGACCTTTCATAAGGTTATTGTAAAACAGTTTTGTACAATATTTACAAACATGTCCCTGCGTGTGTAACAAGAGACCAATAAGCTTCAATAGTCACCGTAGTTGTACGATAGTTTTTTTTATTGCAGAGAACTTAAGTGGAAATAATCATGTATACAAAACATGACGGCTCATATCCCATCAGGTCTGTTAACAAAAACACTAAAAACCCAATCAAATAAATAAATTTAGAAATGAAACAATAAATTTCTTTATAAAGAAATAACAGGTCTCTATAAGGCTTGAATTGGTCTGTTTTCTATTGCATTCCATTATAAAGATATCCAAACATGCTGTTAATACACATAACACTATATGACCCCCCAATCATTCTTGGTCCACGATTAAAAAAAACAAGAGGCCCATGGGCCTTAACGGTCACCTGATATATTTATACAGAAAGTTGATTTTGTTTTTAACATGAACAGAAATATTATTCAAAGTGACAAAAAACAATAAAACCACCTTATTCAATATCTAGCATACAGATTTAAACCTAAGAAGTATTTGAAACTAGCACCTCTGATTCTAAACAAGGAAAATGAAGAAATGTTAGCCCACTGGCTCTTTTGGGCCCCACCCTACAGCCCTTGGGGGTAGGGCTGGCTCAAAATTTTCAAAGTATCAAACTGTCAACTCAGGGTTATAATTCCAATCAAGTTATTAACATGTTATATTCAAAGTATCATTTGCGATTTATAAACCATAATAAATTTTGCCCCCCCCCCTCCTTCCCCAGGGGGTAAATGTGAGACCCTAGGTTCATAAACCTTAAGCCCTTCCATCTATGGAGAGTGTTTGATTCTACCATATCTGGGTCTTTGAGAAGAAGATTTTTGAAATTTCAGTCAATTCAACCCTTTATAACCTAAATTGAATTACTTCCAATGGAAACTAACTAAACAAATGTTGGTCCAAAATGTGATTTCCCTATATAAACTATAGTAAAGTTTACCCCCTCCCCAGGGGGAAACGTGAGACCCCTGGGTCATGAAATTCACAATTTTGGTAAAGCACCTTAAGACCCTTCCATCTAGGAGGAGTATTTGATTCTACCATATCTTGGTCTGGAGAAGAAGATTTTTGAAATTTCAGTCAATTCAACCCTTTTTAGCCCCATCCATCAGCCCCGGGGGTCAGTCAGGGCTGATATGTGCATACCATCAAACTGCTATCCAATACTGATAATGCTAACCTAAATTGAATCACTTCCAATGGAAATTAAACAAGTGTTAGTCCAAAATGTGATTTCCCTATATA